CGGCCTTCGCCTTATTAATATAAAACTTACTGGTCAAGAATTTGCTCCATTGCCAACGGAATCCAGTCTAGTGAAAATTCACTTTTCTTAGTATCGCTTGTACTAAAATAAAAGTAAAAAACCAATTTGTATTTTCAAAATTTGAGGATGCGTCTAATAACTTAATCAGAAATAGTTTTAGAAAATAAAAATAGTAAAACCATTTTTGTTAGGTTTAATAAACAAATTGTTCCAAAAATGATTGCCCAAATCAAGCACAGTAATATAGTTATAATGTAAATGGATTTTTTATAGCCGGAGAGCATGAGAAATGCATGCCAACAATTAATAATAAAATCCATATATTCTCAGTCCGCACATATGAAGGATTTTTTTTATATTCCTTTTTTGGGCCAACTCAAATCTCATCACATATTTCATGCGGGAGAATAAGGCCGGAAAAAAGACACATTCAACTTCTTTTTTCTTTTTCTTTCTTTTTTTTTGGTCAAAAAAGACAAGTTGAACTTCTTTAAAGAATTTACAATATGTTATTTATGTTTATAACTGAAATTATTAATTAAATAAGGATAATATGATAATTCACACTTTTTTATATTAAATATTTTTTAATTAAATAAGATAATAAATTCTATTTTTATGGAACACAACGACCCGTTATATTTTTTAATTCTAAAATAAAATATATATAGAATAAAACCAATTGGCACATGCAAGGGACTGGTAATAATAAGTTATCAATGTTATCCTCTCATTTATTTTTGAAAAATTAAAATAAAATCCATCATATGGGTAATTATATTCAAAGCTAACAACATTTTAACCTCTAAAGGTTTGGGGTTATTCACATTCCTTTTATCCTTCCTTTTAATCCTTCTTTTTACATACTATCAAATTTCCTACATTCTTTTCATCCTTCCTTTCACATGCTGACATGTGGATGTCACAAATGCTATCCGAAAATATTAGGGTATAAGTAGTATTTTAATTGAAGTAACCCAACATATTTAAAGAATATATTAAAAATTAATAAATATTAAGAGAGCTATGATTTATGGAGACGGTAAAACTATAATCCAACACTATTTTTAGAAGAAAAAAAAATTGTGGGTTCTGTTTAGCCCTCAAATACTGGAGATGGCCTAAGTATAATTTTGTGCTCTAGAATCACTTTTACTATATATTTATTAAAATTTATAACAAAAAAGATATCTCCAATGTAAAGTAAGAATAAGCACCGACATGAAAAACATGTCAGTTGGGTTATGTTTTGGGATTGAATCCAATCCGACCAATAAGAACATCAATCTCATTGATTGAACGGTGGGGCTGTCCTTAAATTTGAGCTTTAGAGTTTTGGCCCGAATTCAATCTGGGCTATAATGTAGACCCAAACAAACAGCCTAAATTTTTTTTAAATTGTCAAATTTTCTTCAACAAAAAAATTAAAGACTTGCAACGACCAAGGGCGGAATTACAATGTGGGCTTTGGTGGGCTATAGTTCAGTGATTTTTTGGTGGAAAAAAAAATCATTGAATTTTAAGCTAATAACTTTAGCTAGCCCACCCTTTGATAAATTCCTAATTTCACTCTTGGACAAATATCATATAAATCATATACAACCACACCAGACACCTGACATAGCTAATGCATTTGAAAATGAATAGAGGTGTGCAACCGAAACATATCAAATACCTCTGAATTTCTTTTTCTTTCTTTTAATAAATAGAAATGGCAACCTCTCATTGATTTATGAAAATTTGAAATAAAATCCAACCTGTGTAAATTTGTAATTATGTTCAATCTTAATCATTGTTTGAATGGTTACAAGAATAATTATTACTATGCCGAGATAAATACAATTTACAATTTACAAATTACAATGCATCATGCATGCAGCTAAGCCTCGTGCCTTTATACTTCAATAATATTACAAACTTATAATTACAAAAATTATGAACTAAAAATAAATCCAAAACTAATTTAACTATTATCAAAGTCTTCAACCAATATAAATTCAAAGTCATCAAGTACTAATAACATATAAATTGGATGCAAGGGGATCTCTGCCTTCACTATAATCCTTCAAAAGATGCACAAGAATTCTTCCAAAACAGAGATAGAATTTGCACATCGTCATGCTTCCAGACACCTAATGCTACTGCAACCAGAGCACAAATCTCAAAATATGGACTCCTCCATGGATTGGTAGACGGAGAGAAAAAAACATGTCGGCATATATATATTTATATAAAAGAGAAAATCTATATATTTAATAATCAATGCAAAGGAAAGTTGAGTTAGCATATATAATAGATGGTTTATGTTGAAGGCATATGCAGAAGGAACAGAGATGAGGGCTGATGATTCAGCAAGTGATTTGATGCTTGTTACTTTCGATCTTCACCCTCACGGTTTGAGCAGCAGCAACTCGAGCCATTGCTTGAAATTTTAGACTAGTGTTTGTGTGAAAAAGAGACTCAAAGTTTTAACTAAGAAAATGAGAAAGATATCGACTTTCACATTGGAAAGTTGATTTTGTTATATATTCTTTAAAGATTAGAGGGTTTCTTCCAAATTGACAATGATGCTGAGAAAATATCAGCAAACAAGATGCAATCTTCCTTTTATAACATGGATGCTGAGAAAATAAAAACATTTGATGATGCATTGAACACTTTATTTTTCGTTAACTCGAAGTCAAAAGGGTTAATATCTGATGAACACATATGAAGGATTTTTTTATATTCCTTTTTGGGCCAACTCAAATCTCATCACATATTTCATGCGGGAGAATAAGGCCGGAAAAAAGACACGTTCAACTTCTTTTTTCTTTTTCTTTCTTTTTTTTGGTCAAAAAAGACAAGTTGAACTTCTTTAAAGAATTTACAATAAGTTATTTATGTTTATAACTGAAATTATTAATTAAATAAGGATAATATGATAATTCACACTTTTTTATATTAAATGTTCTTTAGTAATAATAAGTTATCAATGTTATCCTCTCATTTATTTTTGAAAAATTAAAATAAAATCCATCATATGGGTAATTATATTCAAAGCTAACGACATTTTAACCTCTAAAGGTTTGGGGTTATTCACATTCCTTTCATCTTTCCTTTTACATACTATCAAATTTCCTACATTCTTTTTATCCTTCCTTTCACATGCCGACAAGTAGATGTCACAAATGTTATCTGAAAATATTAGGGTCTAAGTAGTACTTTAATTGAATTAACCAATATGTTTAAAGAATATACTAAATATTAAGAGAACTCTGATTTATGGAGACGGTAAACTATAATCCAACAAAATATTTTTTTTTAACTATAAATTTTGGATTAAATTTTATGAGAGGGCTATGTTTAGACTACTGGTATTGGAGATGGCCTAAGTATAAGGGTCAGTTTGGCATTGCTGTGCTGTGAAAATAATCGCTGTCAGATTTGCTGTGAGAGAAATCAGCTGTGAGAGAAAGCAGTTTGGCGTTTGGTAAAATTTTTGTTAAAAGTATTGTTGGTATTGATTTTATACATAATCAAAAAATGATTGCCGCACAATTATTAAACCCAACGCCTCTTCGAAACTGATTTCTACATAATCAGAAAATGAAAGCACCTCATTAGCTGCTTTCCCTTATAGCTTTCTCTCACAGTAATTTTTAACAATAAGTGATTTTCTCATAGTTTACCAAACGGGTTGGGCTCTTTAAAATTTAGAAAAAATCACTTATCACCCCAAATAAGTAATGCCAAACTGGCACTAATTTTGTGCTCTAGAATCACTTTTTCTATTTATTTATGAAAATTTATAATAAAAAAGGTATATGAATAAGCACTAACATGAAAAACATGTCAGTTCGAAACTTGTTTCTCTTTTTAAGAGAGAGAATTTGGGTTATGTTTTGGGATTGAATCCAACCTGACCAATAATAACATCAATCTCATTGATTGGATGCAAGGAGATCTCTGCCTTCACTATAATCCTTCAAAAGATGCACAAGAATTCTTCCAAAATAGAGATAGAATTTACACATCGTCATGCTTCCAGACACCTAATGCTAATGCAACCAGAGCACAAAGCTCAAAATATGGATTCCTCCATGGATTGGTAGACAGAGAGAAAAAACATGTCGACATATATACTTATATAAAAGAGAAAATCTATAGAAAATATGCGGAAAATTTTACTTATCATAAGAACCATTATAATAATCAATGCAAAGGAAAGTTGGGTTAGCATATATAATAGATGGTTTATGCTGAAGGCATATGCAGAAGGAACAGAGTTGAGGGCTGATGATTCAGCAAGTGATTTGATATGTTTGTTACTTTCGATCACCTCCTTCACGGTTAGAGCAGTAGCAACTGGAGCCATTGCTTGAAATTTCAGACTAGTGTTTGTGTGATAAAGAAACTCAGAGTTTTAACTAAGAAAATGAGAAAGATATCGACTTTCACATTGGAAAGTTAATTTTGTTACATATTATTTAAAGATTAAGGGGTTTCTTTCAAATTGGCAATGAAGCTATAATGTTACGTTCAAAATATGAAAAAGCCTTGAGAAAGATTATAATGTATTTCATGAAAAACATTGTGCATTAATATATGAACTTTGTCTTCAGTATGGTGTTGAACCCTATATATCTAGAATGATTTTTGAGTAGAAAGCACACTAGTACTTTGAGATCATCCAATGAATTTAATGAATATAAATGTTGAATAAACGTTGGATAGAGAGATTCTTTGTACTCAACTCAAATATTTAGATTGATTCAGATGTCTTGAATAACACAAGTAAATACACATTGACTATTCAATAATCTTACCCAACGAGCGCTCTGCGTTTTTCTCTGGCCTTTGCTTCTGTTACTTCTAGTGGTTGCTACCACCGTTCACGGTGGCGGCTCCGATGCCGAATTTCGTTTTTTTCTGCTGGATCTAGTGGATCTGGTAAAGATGGAGTGTGTATTGGTGAGAAACGAGCTCGTACCCATGAGATGTGTGATGTTGGAGGCAGAGATGGTGAGGATTCTTCTCTTCTTGTGCCTCCTCTGCTGATGAGTTTTAAAGACAAGGTTTTGGGTCTTTCTGGCATGGCTGAAGATAATCTGATTATTGGGGATGGCGATTGTGTGGTTATGGATGGGGATATTCAGTCCATTAAATTCTCTGAATCAATTAAGGATTGTTTGTATCATCCTTGGAGAACTTCTGTAATCATCAAGCTTATGGGTCGTCCGTTGACTTATAATTTTCTTCGTGCTCGGCTTCTTCAACGCTGGGCTCTGAAGGGTCCGATGAGTTTAATTGATTTGGAAAACAATTATTTCATTGTTAAGTTTTTGCTTGAGGAGGATATGCAGTATGTGCTTATTGGTGGCCCTTGGCAAATTGCTGGTCAGTATCTTGTGACTCAACAATGGAAGCCTGGGTTTAATCCGAAGGAGGAGCGTGTTACACACATGACGGCTTTGGTCAGAATCATTGGTCTCAATGTAGAGTATTTTCGACCAGACGTTATGGGAAAATTTGGCAATCTGATTGGTCATACTGTCAAGGTTGATGCTCTCACTATGAGCCAAGCGAGAGGTAAATTTGCACGAATTTGTGTTGAACTTGATTTGTCAAAGCCTTTTGTTCCTTTCATTGAAGTTGAAGGTCGATCTTATGGTGTTGTGTATAAAGGGATTAAGTTGGTTTGCTTTGAATGTGGCTGCTATGGGCATGGTAGGGATAATTGTCCTGTTATTTTGAAAGCCAAGGCCCAGGCTGCTGAAACTGAAAATGCTAAGGATATGAAGGTTAACACTCTTGCTAAGGAGGATGATTTGTATGCTTTTAGTCCTGAGAAGGTTGGTGAGGGGAGTTCTACGAAGCTTCATGGTCAGTGGATGTTGTTGCAGCATAAGAATTCTAAGAAGCTTCTGGTTCAAGGTTCGCTGTTTTGGACAATGATGTTACTCAAGAGGCTGCAGATGAGCAGGTTGTGAATCATTTTAAGTATGAGGCTAGTAAGCCTATAAAGCAAGTGGCTACCCCTGCTAGTGGTTTTGCTAAGTCTACTGGGAGTAGCAGAAATGAGGTTGGGAAGAGAAATGCTCTTGCTAAGGATTCTAAGGTGTGGGTTTTCAAAAAACCTTTGAAAGACATTACTAATGCTAAGTTGGAGAAGAACAGTACTGTGGGTTTGAAGCCTGGTGTTGGGTCTAACTGCGCTGGGAAGGCTAGGGGTGGGCATACTCATAGTAATTTGAATGTTGGAGCGGTGGGTATGCAAGTTCGAGGCTCTGATGTACAAGATGATGTTCAAGGCTTGTTCTCATTTAATATGGATGTTGCCTCTTTACCTGCGGATTTTCGGGGTGCTAATGTGGTGTTGCATGAACCAGAGCCTCCTGATATTGGTCAGATGGAGCTGAATGAGGGTGAGTCTCATTTAGCTAAGTCTAGTGGTTCCCGTGAGGATGAGCATGATTCCGTTGGTAATGCGGTTGATTTGGCTGGTATGTCGATTGATTTTGATGCCTATGATGTTGAGGCTGAGCAAGTTGCTTTTTGAGGAGGTTTTCCCTCTCTTTGCCCTCTATCATTTTTATGATAATTGTTTCTTGGAATATGCGTGGTGTTGGCAAGGTAGAGTGTGCCAGTACCATTAAGGACTTAAAAAAGGCATATGGTATTGATGTTTTTGCTGTGCTTGAGCCTAGAATTGGTGGTTCTCGAGCTCTCTCTATTGCAAAAAGTTTGGAATTTTCCCATTATCATATTGTGGATCCCATTGGTTTTTTTGGGGGTGTGTGGCTTCTTTGGAATGGTAATTCTGTTTCTTTACATGTTGTTGCTCATTCGAGTCAAACCATTACTGCTTTAGTTACTATGGATGCTAAGAGGTGGTTGCTAACAGTAGTTTATGCCAGTCCGTGTTCTAATGTGAGAACTTCTCTTTGGAAGTATTTTGATGGGTTGGCTGCTGTTTGTAATTTACCTTGGTCGTTGCTTGGGGATTTTAATGATATTGTTTGTGGTGAGGAGAAGCTTGGTGGTAATTTGGATGTTGGTGGTCAGCATTTTATTGAGTGGATTGATAGGAATCACCTTATTGATTTGGATTTTTCTTGCGCTAATTTTACTTGGTGTAATAAAAGGGGTGAAGAAGATATTATTTGGAAACGGCTTGATAGAGGTCTATGTAATATTGATTGGAGATTCTTGTTTCCTGAAGCTTACCTTTCTCACCTTCCGAGAGTGAATTCTGATCATTGTCCTATCATGGTTAAGTTCTTTTCCAACCATCTTCCTGCTACGGAATCTATGCCTTTCAGATTCCAAGCAATGTGGTTAAGTCATCCTAGCTTTTCTGAGTTCCTGTCTGGTTTGTGGAATTCTGGAACAGGACATGCTTTTCAAAAGTCTGCTAGTCTTATTTGGCCTCTGCAACGTTGGAATAAACAGGTGTTTGGGTGTCTTTTTCAAAAGAAAAGAAGGATTTTGGCTCGGCTTGCTGGTATTCAAAGAAGCTTATGTATTCAGTTTAATCCTTTCCTTAGTCAGTTGGAAACTGATTTGACTACAGAGTATAATCTCATCCTTGATCAAGAAGAGATGTTTTGGTTGCAAAAATTTAGAAACACTTGGCTTAAGAAAGGTGATAGGAATACAAATTTTTTCCATCTTTCTACTATTATTAGAAGGCGCCAGAATAAATTGGAAGGGTTGACTAATGATGCTGGAGAGTGGATTTCTGAGAAATGAGGTATGAAACAAATTGTTATTCACTATTTTCAAGGGCTGTTTACTGAGCCTACTTTATCTGGTGAGTATTCTTTATTTCCCCAATATTTTCCTCAGCTTGAGAGCTCTGGTTGTACAAGGTTAAATGGTGAGGTTTCTGATGTGGATATTCAAAGTAGTTTATTTGCTATTGGTGGGTTGAAAACGCCTGGGCCTGATAAGTTTCCTGCTCTTTTTTATCAAAATTATTGGGATATTTGCTCTAAGGATATCATTTCTCTTGTCAAGGATTGTTTTGTCAGAGCTTCTCTTCCTGAGCACCTTAATGATACTTTAATTGCTTTGGTTCCTAAGGTTGAGAGGCCTCTTAATATGGCTCAACTTAGGCCTATTAGTTTATGTAATACTCTTTATAAAGTGGTTTCTAAGATTTTAGTTTCTAGGCTTCGTCCTGTTATGACTAAAATTGTTAGCCCCACTCAAGTCAGTTTTGTGCCAGGGAGACATATTGTTGATAATATTGTGATTGCTCAGGAAATGCTTCATAAGTTCAAGGTTGCTAAAGGTCAAAGGGGTTTTATTGCTTGGAAAATTGATCTTTCCAAGGCCTATGATTGAGTTGGTCTTTTATTAGAGAGGTTCTTTGTGAAATTGGTATTGGGGGGAGAATTTTGGAGCTCATCATGCACTGTATTAGTTCTGTGCGTTATAAAGCTATTTTAAATGGTGAGTTAACAACTAATTTCTCTCCTAAGTGTGGTATACGACAAGGAGACCCTCTTTCTCCTTGCATTTTCGTTCTATGTATGGAAAAGCTCTCCCATATAATTCAGCAGAAAGTTCTTGACCAAAGTTGGAAGACTGTGCAGATTTGCCAAGGAGGGCCCTTTATCTCTCATTTATTTTTTGCTGATGACTTGGTTTTGTTTGGGAGGGCCTCTATTGAGCAGGCTTTAGTGATGAAGCAGTGTTTGGATGATTTTTGCTCCCTTTCTGGTTAGAAGGTCAGTTTTGAAAAGTCTATGGTTTGTGTGTCCCCTAATACTTGTCCTGGTTTGGCTCAGAATATTGCCTCTATTAGTGGTTCTCCTTTATCTGATAACCTTGGTAAGTATCTTGGAGTTCCGTTAATTCACACTAGAGTTACCAAAGATACTTATCAGGAAATTATTGATAAAGTCCAAAAACGCCTCTCTTCTTGGAAAAGCCACACTTTGTCTATGGCTGCAGGCTCACGTTATTGCAATCAGTCACCTCGGCTATTCCTATTTATTCTATGCAAACTGCTATGTTGCCTGCTTCTGATTGTTCCAAGCTGGATCAGTTAAATAAGAACTTTCTTTGGGGGGCATGCCTTTGATAAGGCTAAGGTACATCTTGTGAACTAGGAAACTGTGTGTAAGTCTAAATGTGCTGGTGGTTTGGGTGTGAAAAAGGCTGCTTGGATGAATCAAGCTTTATTGGCTAAATCCGGTTGGAGACTTCTTCAGAATGACCAAGGGCTTTGGGCCAAAGTTCTTAAGGCTAAATATTTAAAAAACTGTGATATGTTGTCTGTTAATAAGCATTAGTTTCGTAGTTGCTCTAGTAGCTAGAAGGGTGTGTTATTTGGTGCTAAGCTTCTTCCCCTTTGTGTTAAATGGAGAGTAGGTTCTGGTGATTCCATTTGTTTTGGTTGAGTTGTGGTGCTCTTATAAATTATGCCCTCACTGATTTGTTTAAGGAAATGCTCCAGTTGAATGTGAGTGATTTTCTGGATGAGGGTTTGTGGGATATTTCTTGCTTGCAAGAGTGTCTTCCTCCTGATATTGTGCTGATGATTACTAGTATTCATGCTGGCTTCATTGATAGTGGTCCTGATATGTGCACTTGGAGGTTTACTTCTAATGGAAATTTTTCTGTGAATTCTGCCTATCAATTGTTTTGTCCAGTTGAGGCTGGTTCTAATTGGCATTGGGAGTTTATTTGGAGGTTGCGGCTGCCTCCTAAGGTTAAGTCCTTCCTTTGGGTGCTTTGTCACAAAAAACTCCTTACTAATGCACAAAGGCACCGTAGAGGTATGGCAGTTTCTACTTCATGTCCTCGATGCATTTATCCTGTTGAATCTGTTGAGCATTTGTTTAAAGGTTGTAGTTCTTCCTTTTTAATTTGGAACCAGTTTGGTAGTTGGTTTGAGGAATCCAGTGTTTTGTATCCTAATTTTGATGACTGGCTCTTCCATAATCTGCATTCCAAGAGATCTTTTTTGACTGGTTTGGCTTGGAATTTGGTGTTTGCTGTTAGCCTTTGGTTTATCTGGAAATGGCGATGTAAGTTTGTTTTTGAACATGGTTTTTTGCTTCCCTCTGAGCTGCAACAGGTGATTCTGCAGTATGCTAAGGATTGGTTTACAACCACTAAGCCTATCTCTGTTCCTCTTCAGCAGGGTGTAGTTTATCTTCATTGGCAAGCCCCTTTGCCAGGGAGGTGTAAGGTTAATACTGATGGTAGTTGTAAGCATGCTCTTGGGTACATTGGAGCTGGGGGTCTGTTAAGAGATCATGCTGGTAATTGGCTTAAAGGTTTTTCTGTTAATTTGGGTGTTGGGTCAGTGATTGAGGCTGAGTTATGGGGAATTTTTTGGGGGCTCCATTTAGCTTGGGAAGCTGGGTTTCGTGGTGTGGAGGTTGAATGTGACTCTAAGTCTGTTGTGGGTTTGTTGCTGAATCCTCCTAGTCATACCCATCCTCTTTTTAGCATTATCAATTGCTGCTATGTGCTGACTCTGAAGGACTGGTGCTGTTCTGTCAAGCACATTTTTCGTGAGCAGAATTTTGTTGCTGATTCTTTGGCTTCTATGAGCCATGATCTTCCCTTGGGTTTGCATATTTTGGATTCAGCTCCTAGTGTGGTTGTTGATCTTCTTGCTGCTGATGCCAGAAGCTTGGCTCGTCCAAGGATGATTGTTGTGTAATTCTTTTGTGTTGTTTGGGCTTTGGCCCCTTATTTTACCAAAAAAAAAAAAAACACAAGTAAATACATAGTCTGCCTTAATCATTTGCAGTCATCAAAAACAAGAAACTATTTTTCTTAATATATCAGATGATAGAGAAAGGGGAATGCAGTCTTCAGTCTTGTAAGTACCTAATAAGTTTGTTTTTTGAAGTAAGTGTAACACCCCGACTCCAAGTAAATTTCCAATTTAAAGTATTTAATCTAATTTAATGTGAATTTACGAAATTACCCTTGGGGCAGGGTAGTTTGGTCATTTTCTTATCCGAAAGGATTTTGGGACCCCGGGTGGTTTGGTTGCGTAGGTGGCTCTAAGATGAAATCGTAGACAGGCGATAGGCCTAAATCGGAGTTATAACGAAGTTTTGGCGATTAATTTACCTTCGGTGGCAAAATCGTAATTAACTCACGAAGGGTTTGGGTAAAAATCAGTTTTGTTTTCAGTTTTACCTCACTCTCTCTCTCTCTCTCTCTCTTTCTCTCTCCCCGAGCTCTTCTCTCTCTCTCTCCCGAGTTACTGTTCACCCGAACGGAAAAACCCACGCCGCCACCACTTCCGGCCACCTCAGCCCTCGAGACTGGTCCCAAAAGCTTCGTCTCAACGTCCCGGTCAAGACCCAATAGTTTTTGTCTATGGAAAACTCAAGAACAGCCGGCAGTTTCGACTGGTTCGTTTCGGGATTTTTCCAATCGTTGCGCCGTCGTCTCCGCCGCCTTTTTCTGGTGTTTGAGGTGAGGTTTCTTCCTCTCTCTATCTGTTCTAGCTGGCTGTTGCATAGGACTTGTTCAATTTGCTGTTTAAAATCCGATTTGAGAAGCTAGGTTTTGGCCGGTTTTCAATTCGAAATTCCGGCCAGTTCCCGGCGGTTTTGGGCTTGGCTGTAGTTGAATGAAGTGCTCCCCTAGTTGAGTAGGACCTGTAGCTGGGAGGGTGACTTGTGATTTAGAGATTTTCCGTCGCCGGAATTTCTCTGCACACCCACTTGCAAGTGTGGTGGAGCTGCAAATTGTTCCAGTGTGATCCTTAAGTCGTCACGAGCGCGTAGGATTTCGCGGATCTCGATTCTGAGGTCGTTTGACTATCGAACGGATTATCGCATATTGTGCGTTATCCGGGTTCGATATGTTCCGACCGTTGGATCGTTTTCAAATTGCAGTATGTTACCCTAGAATACCTTTTTCCTCGTATTCACTGAAAACCCGGGAAGCTAGGGTTTTATTTTAACATTCCGTTTCGAAACACTTGTTGTTAATCGCATTTTCGTATTCTGAATCAGGTACTCCGACCCCGTATACGCAGCAGGCGGGACCCTCTCAGAGTCAACCTGTGTGGGACTACTTGTGAGTGGACTTTTCTTTCAAACTTCAGCATGACTTTATATATGGAAATATGGCATATTGCTTTATTTTGTTTATTGACTTTGGTATATATTTGAATGTGAAATTCGTGGTTTTCATAAAGTTTTGATAATATGTTTGAGTTTTGAGAATATATACACATATGGTTATATGTGGGGTACTTCGGAGGTTAATATGAGTTTATGTAAAGGTGTGATTATTTGATATGATTGTTTGGAGTGCTTTAAGCACTATCCTATGTACCTCCCCGGATCTGAAACTTGATACTTGATTACTGATACTGGATACACTTGGAATTATTTGAGTTCAGGACATCCTTGAGGGGATGTTGCTGTGGACCCTGGATTTGGGGTAGTCTGCGCGCGTAGGACTGGTATTTCAGGCGTACAAGCTTTGACTGTGTCGGCTGTACGTGCTGGCTGAGAGTTGTTCCCCAGTTGGACGGCTCGTTCCCTAGACACATGGTGCATTGAGGAATGGCTCTGCCATGTGGACTAGTCAAACAATCCCCCGGTTGGATTGTTTCCCCGGTACAACTAAATTGTGGTTATATTTATATATTCTTATTATTATATGTTATATTACTATTATATATATATATGAATATTCAGTCGTTCTTATTTCTCGGTAAGGATACTTCCTCGCCGGTTGTACCATTGGGTACGTTTTCGAGAGTTTAAGCTCTCGGGACTCTTAAGTTTGAGTGGTGGGTTTTGTGAAGTGTGATTCACGGATTTCGGATTTGGTATCCGGTATGATTTTTAGTATATGTTTATATACTGCTTATGACAGTTTTATTATGCATCTGGATTCGTTGCATGTGTTTTATAAGGTGGGGTTATATTATTTTGATTTAATTGAACTGACTTAATTTTTGTCCACTCACAATTTTCTGTTTTGCGCCCCCAGCCAGTAGCAACTGAGCTCCACAGTTGAGCCGGACCGGGTGCTCTCGAAACTTGAGTCTTCGTAGGGACTCCTTCACCTTTTCCTTTCAGTTAAACTGTACTTCTGTTGTTTTTGAATTTCTTATATATGCTCTGTATCGCCCGCTGAGGGTATAAATCGTGAGGCCAGAGGACTTTGTTGTAAATTGTTTTATTGCTTGTAAAGCATGCTGCCAGTTGGTTGTTTATAACTGTAATTATGAACAGGTTGAAGTTTGGGAATGTTCATTTTACAGGGGAGATTTTGCCAAATTTTTGGTAGACAGTCTCGGTCTTTAGTAAGTGGGCCCGGCATTGGGGTAATGTCGGAATTTAGGCGGGGTCCGTCCCGGTTTCCCAGGAGATTCGGGACGGGTCCTGTCAGTAAGTGTAAGCACGCAAGCCCTCAAACCAAACGGTGCCAATCCTCAAACCTAAAACCTTAGTTTTATCACAATACCTACAAATCAGGAACCAGCCTTTGATTTTCTTTCTCATCAATGAACATGAAATATTGAAGTTTGAGATTATTATTTTTTTGTTTGATAATACTGTTGAACGTTGAGACTCACCATATAACATAATATAATAATTTGAACGGTCTATTTTACAAAGTATATGAATAAAAGAGAGAATTGACGAAAAATCATATTTGACCAGAAACGGAAATCTTGTGATGGGAGATATTAAAAAAATTACAAAATATGTATGCCCAAAAAAAAAATTTGTTTAAAAAAAATACAAGAAATAAAATAGAAGATGGAGCATTGTATCATGACATGTGTCCCTGAAGGTAAGCGAATCAGCTCTCGTTGCGTCTTTTGGTTATATGGGAAAAGAGAAGAAAACGAACCGACGGAGCTGACGCTCTAAAGAACCAAACCAAAGCCACCCCTATCAGTTTTTGCTGTTTTCGAGGCTAGTTCCTTGGCACTCTCTTCGGTACTCTCTCTCTCTCTCTCTCTCTCTCTCTCTCTCTCTGGATTTATAGATGGGATATCACAAATTCTATACCGTTGATTGTTGTCCTGTAGTTTAAGTACACAGACTTTGATCTAATCTCTAGCTTAAAGCTTTTATTTTTTTGTTATGTTCTTTCTGATTTTGATGATTTGGCTGTTGGGTTTTGTTTCTTGATTTGTTTGGTCAAATTTTGATTTGGGTTTATTTGGTATTTCTTGTTTTAAGTCATCTTGTTGATTTGATGATGATATCAATTGCTCATGAGTTTATCTGGTCTCTGTTTGGTTTCTCGGAAAGTGATGACATGATTGCTGTTATAGTTGACTAATTGTTGAAATTATGTGTGTATATTCATGCTTGGTAGATTGCAGAATATACAACTACTAATTTCAGATTGCCAAGCAAAACAGCTAAATGTTGTATATGATTAATGTGGTGTTTCGCTTGCTTTTGCATGTAAATTGTTTGCTTCTTAATATGATTAACGGATACGACCATAGAAAGTTACAATAGTCAGATGCAAATTGGAAAATTTGTGTGTGTGTGTGTGTGTGTCTGGAGTTCATCGGAAAGGGTTTTTTGCCCAATATTGCATATTCATGAAGGGTAGAGTAGATTGCAAAAGATAAACTTCTAATTTCAGATTATCTAATCATTGGGATTGAGATAATTTATTTGTGTTGGTTGACTTTGGATCTGGATCTATGTTGATTGACTGAAAGTCGGGTTCCACCCCTCTATTATTTTTCTTCCATTGGTTCCACTTCCTTCGTTTCACTCACTATTTTGTAACATTTGCAGAGTATTTTTCTCCGAACATTTCTGCAGAAATTATTCAGTTACTTGAGTCAAGTCAATACCCACCCACTTAATTGCATCGTGGAAATTAGTGTCTAACTTTTAATTTCTAGTAGGGGCAGATGATTCGTGGTCTTTTTTATGTTATGTTTGTCTTGTATATATGGCTCCATTTTGATTTTATGGATCATCTTTTGCAATATCCCACACTCGTTCACTTTTGAAAATCTTCTTTTGGTAAAAGTTTGACATGTCGTTGCACATTAAAAGAAATCTGAATTATCAAATATGTGCCTTTTGTGGAATTAAACAGTCCAAGCTTTCAAGGTCAAGTTAATACTTACACTATTAAGAAATTGGGTATGAAGAAAAAAAAATTATGAAACATAGCCGCGAAATTTATAAGTCACCATGTAAGTTTGCTTAAGAAATATACAAGTCATCCCGGAAAGTTTGGTTAAGAAATATCAAGTTAAGGGGGCACTTTTCCTTCATTTATTGTCAAGTACAAATCTTATTTTAACAGTTCAAAAACTAAACTGCACAAATACGGTATTAACCATAATTAATTGTATTTTTAAAGAAAGTGGTAGAGGCTATAATTGTTACCATTAAATTAACCTTCCCCGCTAAATAAGTGAAGTGGTTTGATAATGGTTTTTGTATAAATTTATTCTCACAAACTATTTATACATAATTTGTGAAAGATTTATACTTACATATATAACATTTGTATCAAGAAATATATGTGTGTTGGTAGACATATCTCCGTATGTTTCAAGTTAGGTCAAGTCAATATTACAAGAAGCTTGTGCCTTGGATGTGGCAAATTAGGGTTGAGTTGAGTGGACATGACCCACAGGATGCAGAAAAACTTGTATGAAACCATCTCAAGACTAGTCAAGTCGACTCAATACCTACAATAATTTGTCATGATTTTTGGCGTGGAACTCGGGATTCTCAAGTCTATGAAGTTAAAGTCTTATGTGGAGCCACGCACACGCATTCATTCTTCCAACCAATACCAAATTTCCACAAGTAATTTCCCCAATTCATTGAAATACATGCTCAGAAAGGCTACCTAATTAACTTTATGCAAAGACTAATTCAATAGATGTGGCTTCATTAGTGTCCAACTCAATGAACTTTCTGCTCAGACCCAACAAATAAGAAAAAGGAAAAAGAAAAGCCTTAGTCAATAATTATGTCCCTAGTTTCTGTATATCGTTTGGAGTTTTATGGATCTCTTTGTGGGCAGCATATGACAAAATTTGCATACTATTTGTATTGTGATACAAGCTCGGAGACAACCATATATCAATAATTAAACCCTAAACAATTAGATCGTGTTGATCTTGCCTTTCAATCTTTTAACATGCAGGGCCATGGAAGGTCCTTGAAACTCTTTCTTGCATTTGCGCTGCTTTTGCTACAGTATGCCCAAGGAGGAGAGGTGGACCACAATCAGAGGGATACTAATGTGACCGGGAGGTGCATAGAGAAGGAAAGGCAAGCACTCCTTGCATTCAAGCGTGGCCTGGTGGATGATTACAATCTCCTCTCTTCATGGAGTTCCGAAGCCCAGAAACAAGATTGTTGCAGATGGATAGGAGTCTATTGCAGCAACCAAACAGGTCATGTTATTGGACTTGATCTTTCATACAAAGTTATCGGCGGAGATTATTATTTGCAAGGTAAGATGATTAGTCCTAAACTGATTGAGTTGCAGCATTTACAACATTTGTACCTCAATGAGATTAATTTCACAGGGAGTCAATTTCCAGATTTCATTGGTTCTCTAACCAATTTAAGATACCTTGATCTGTCTTGGGCTTATTTTGGAGGCAAGTTTCCAAGTCAGGTCGGAAATCTTACGAACTTGGTGTATCTGGACTTAAGCTGTAATCGCTTTACAAGTGTAGAAAATCTCAACTGGCTTCCTCTTCTTTCGTCGTTAAGATATTTGGACTTGAGTTATGCGAATCTCAGCAATGTTTTCGATTGGCCGGAAGCTGTTAATAAGCTTCCTGAACTAACAAACTTGACACTACAGGAATGTGATCTTCCTTCTCCAATTCTTTCCACTCTTTCTTACATAAACTCTTCTAAATCTCTTGCTAGCGTTGACCTTTCTTTCAACCATTTGAGTACTTCTTCAATATTTCTATGGTTGTCCAACTATAATACCAGCCTTGTTCATCTTGACCTCTCTTTTAACCAATTAGCTGGTTCAATTCCTGATGTTTTTGGAAACATGAGCTCTCTGGCACATCTTGATCTATATTCTAACCAACTTGAAGCAATACTTGGATCTCTCAAGCAATAATCTGAGTGGACAACTTTCTAAGTTCGGTCAAATATTATTTTCTACATGTGCTCAAAACTCATTGGAGGAGTTGTATCTCTCTGAGAATGATCTTGCAGGGTCATTACCTGAAAGTATAGGGCTAATGTCTAAGCTTCAAACTATTGATTTTAGCATGAATTCTTTGGAAGGAGTGATTTCAGAAACTCATTTCTCAAAACTCTCCAAATTACAGCATTTGGATTTATCTTCTAACTCGCTAGTTTTAGACATCCATGTTGATTGGATTCCTCCTTTCCAATTGGACTTCATAAATTTGGGGTCTTGCAAGATGGGTCCGGATTTCCCAAATTGGCTTCAAACTCAAAAAAAATTGTCATACCTTGATATTTCTGATGCTGGAATTTCCGACATCCTTCCAAGTTGGTTTTGGAGTTTATGTCGTAATGTGGAATTTATGAATCTCACAAGCAACCAAATTAGAGGTACATTTGCAAATTTGACATTGGAATTTTCATATTTCCCTGAACTACATCTGAGTTCGAACAAGTTGGAAGGTCCAATCCCCTCAATTCTATCGAAAGCCTCATATCTGGATCTCTCTAATGATAAACTTTCAGGGTCAATTTCATTCCTGTGTTCAAGTGCAGCTATTTATTTAGGCTTTCTTGACCTCTCAAGCAACAATGTTTCTGGACAAGTTCCAGATTGCTTGACACATTTGGAGAATCTAGTCATGCTTGATTTGAGTTACAATTCTTTGTCCGGGAAAATTCCTACAACAATAGGCTTTGTATTTCGGATTGAAACACTCAAATTAAGAAGCAATAGATTTGTGGGACAATTGCCTTCGTCGTTGAAGAATTGCACAAGTTTAGTAGTCGTTGATGTTGTGGATAATAAATTATCCGGACCGATACCTGAATGGTTAGGGGTTACCTTAAAGAATTTGGTTATCCTAATGCTTTCGTCTAATCACTTCAAAGGAAGCTTGCCCTCACAAATATGCTATCTAACACACATTCAAATTTTGGATTTCTCCATGAACATCATCTCTGGAAGCATACCCAAATGCCTCACCAATTTAACTACTCTGGCTCAGAAAGGAAATCCAAGTTTGAACATCACACATTTTTTAGAACATTCAAATTCTACGTATAAATATGAGGATGATGCAACATTTATATGGAAAGGAGGAGTGCAAACATACAAAAGTACTTTGGGCCTCATGAAGAGAATTGATCTGTCAAGCAATAAATTAACAGGGGCTATTCCAAGTGAAATAACTCATCTTGTTGGGTTGGTTTCTTTAAACCTATCGAGAAACCAATTAAGAGGTCAAATAACTCCAAAGTTCGGAAACTTGCAGTTACTGGATTCTCTTGATTTGTCAAGAAACCATATAGACGGAAGAATTCCAACAAGCCTTGCTCGGATAGATCGTCTTAGTTTCTTGGACTTGTCATATAACAACTTGTCTGGAAAAATTCCAATTGGGACTCAGCTCCAAGGCCTTGATCCCTCTGTTTATGCTGGGAATCCTCAACTATGTGGGCCTCCACTTAAAAAGATGTGTGCCAATGAGGAGGAAAGAGGTCCAAGTAAGCAAACTGACTTCATCAACCAAGAGGACAAGGATGAGCTAATAACACTGGGATTCTACATTAGTGTGTGTTGAGGCCCAAAAAATCCATGGATTGGGCCCGAGCAATTATCAGCCCAATACAATATTCCATAACAATATTCCATAAGGAAAAAGAAAAAAAGGATCTATCGCATGCGGGTTATAATCCACATGCCACGCTAAATAAACAAATTATCATGCTATGATTCGCGATAAAATATAATTAACTCATGCTAAAAATTAAAACAATCCTTCCCAAGGGCGATAAGTTAAAATATGCCAAGCAACATGCCATGCCGTTATCTCGCACCCAACCACGCTACAAGCCTAGGTGGGCCCAAGCCACTCAAAAAACCCGGGGCTTGCTTGAGTGGGTTGTGGCATGGATGGTGATAAATCAACATGAGACCCATTGATGGACCAAGAAATGGAAAGTCTCGGGTTGCTTGGGAGCCTCGAGACTCAAGCCCATTTCTTAGGCCCAAACATGTGGGTAAGCACAAGAGAGAAAAAATAGCCCAAAAGCCCAAGCAAAATAACCTAGCCAAGAGATAACCCAACCAAAAAATAATAAGCCCAAATCAAGAAGCCCAACAAGCCCATTTGCTTAGAAAGCCATCTTGGCCCTTAGAAAAACCCAAAATAGCCCACAAGAGCTTCAGCTCTTTTGAAAAGCAGAGGACACGTGAAGAGCAGATGGCAGACTCCTTAAGCAAAGCTGCTGGAAACCAGTCCCAAGCCAGAGACATCCAAAGAACCAATGAATACCATCCTGCATGCTGTCAGAAGCATCCCTTGGACCAGCATATATTTTCACCTCTTTTCCTCCATCAGATTCAGCCAAAGAAGAGGAAAGAAAAGAAGAAAAAACAGCAAACCAAGAGTGGAAGCTCTCATTGCACAGCCGCGGGAAAGGAGGATGTTGAGCCCCCAAATCCCCTGAATTCATGAAAATAGACAGAAGCAATCTTTGCCAAGAAAGGGAAGTCAGAGAAGGGGAGGAGAAAGGAAGAAAAGCTTAGCCAAAGTAAGTAGAAGCCATTAGGGTTTCTTGAAAAATGGTGATTTCCGGCAGCTATAAATTGAGCCTTCCCTTACCCAACAAACTCAACTCACAACCTGCAGAGAGCAAGCTTTTCTCTCTATCTTGCAAAACTCAGACTCGTGCACTGTTCATCTTCTTCTCCAATTTGTTTTTCTGGCAGCTGCCGGAAGAACCCTGCCTTTCTTTTTTTCTCTTTCTCTAGTCAAAATTCCTCACAAAACACTTCATCCCTTACTTAAACACTTTCATTTCCCATAAACCAAGCCTAATTTCTCTCTTAGTGCTAAACCCATGTTGGTTTTGCTCCCCATGCCTCATGCCACTCATGCTGAGCTAAAAAAAACCATCTGTAAGCATGCCAAAACTATCTGCAAGTCACTATTATTCTCATTGGTGAAGATTATCCAAAATATTTCCTAAGGTTTCGCTGCCCTTTCGAAGTATTTTGGGGCTTAATTTTCGAACCTAAACAAAAAGGGGCAGTCTCCTCAATCCGCCTTTTACAGCAGCCCAGCCCGTTAGCTGCAGGAAGAAAAAAGTCCCCTACAGTGTGGGGATTGGATTTGCTGCTGGATTTTGGGGAGTTTGCGGCACCTTGATATTTTCAAGGTCGACTCATGGAGTTATGCATACCTGAAGTTCTTGAATGGTTTAAATGATTGGCTTTTTTTTATTATAGCTTTATTAAAGCGTCAATTGAAGGATGCTTTATCCAACATCTTTAGAGACATGTCTTCCTTTCAGTGAAGTGGCTCTGTAACGGTAGTCGTATTGTAGTAGCAGGAAATGGATTTTTATAGCCAAAGAGCATGAGAAATGCATGCCAACAATTAATAATAAACTTCACATATTCTCAGTCCGCACATATGATGGATTTTTTTATATTCTTTTTTTGGTTCAAACTCAAATCTCATCACATATTTCATGCGGTAGAATAAGGTGGAAAAAAAAATTGAAGTTCAACTTCTTTTTTATTTTCTTTGTTTTTTGTCAAAATAGACAAGTTGAATTTCTTCAAAGAGTTGACAATAAGTTATTTATGTTTATGTTGGATTTATATAACTGAAATTATTAATTAAATGAGGATAATATGATAATTCACACTTTTTCATATTAAAAAATTTTAAATTAAATAAGATAATGGATCTTATTTTTATGGAACACAACGATCCATATTTTTTTAATTCTAAAATAAATAAAAAATAATCATAAAGCCGCGTGTGCCAAGGGACTTGTAATAATAAGTTATTAGTGTTATCCTCTCATTTATTTTTGAAAAATTAAAATAAAATCCATCATACAAGTAATTATATTCAAGGGCTAACGACATTTTGACCTATGAAGGTTTGGGGTTATTCACATGACGCGTGTGCCAAGGGACTTGTAATAATAAGTTATTAGTGTTATCCTCTCATTTATTTTTGAAAAATTAAAATAAAATCCATCATATGAGTAATTATATTCAAAGGCTAGCGACATTTTAACCTATGAAGGTTTGGGGTTATTCACATTCCTTTCATCATTCCTTTCATCCTTCCTTTTCATCCTTCCTTTTACATACAATCAAATTTCTTACATTCTTTTCATCCTTCCTTTCACATGCCAACACGTGGATGTCACAAATGCTATTCAAAAATATTAAGGTCCAAGTAATACTTTAATTGAAGTAACCAATATATATAAAGAGCTATGATTTATGGAGACAGTAAAACTATAATCCAACATCAATCTCATTGATTGGACGGTGGGCCTGTCCTTAAATTTGGGCTCTGGAGTTTTGGCCCAAATTCAAATCTGGGCTATTAATACAGACCCAAACAAATGGATTTGGAGTTGGGAGCCTAAATTCAAATCTAGACATTCAAACCAAATGAAAAGGCATGTACTCTGATAAGCCTATATTTTATATATATTTTATGCCTCATTTACTTATTTATTTGTTAATTTTCTTGGGTTAAATTGGTTGTTTAATTGGTTTTGTGAGATTTGTGAAGGAATTATGAAATAGGAGAAAGTGTGCTAAAAAGGGCAAGAAAATGAAGATTGGAGATTAAATCAAGTCAAGAAGCCAAGTCATTCCTTCTGTCGCAAGGAATGTTTAGTTCAAGATATTTCAAGTCTTATCAAGTCAAACAAATAAAGAAGACCCTATTTTAGAAGGAATCCTACTTTTATAACAATTGTAATTATACCTTATATAGGATTTCTAGGAGTCTTATAAATAGGAAGTCTAGGTCATTGTTCAATGGACGCGAGCACCCATCATCCTTCATATTCATACTCATACCCGGAATATCCAAAGGAGAATACGAAGAAAGCTTGCACAACCTTGGCATTCTGCTTGGAGAATTC